GGGGTTGTGTTGAAACAAAAAATGATCACCTATAGCGTAGTCTTACTATATCTGACACTATTAACCCGTATCCCTTTGGGTGCCAACTCGAGTGCCAAACATTTGGTGAACATATTGAGCGCATTCTTAGCCATATTATAAGCCATCGCTTTCGGCATCTGTTTTACACTCAATTTGTGTCACAAATTTGAATATTTGATTAAATATTTGTAAAAGTATTTACCGGTTGTTCTGCACCTATACTCGAAATGTTAATGATATTGCCTTTACTTTGCTCCAGATATGGGACCACCAAATGGGTCACCACCTGAACACTCCTGAGGTTGAGATCAAACATTTGATCAAAACATTTAAGATAACTGTTGGACGAGAATTGACAGACGAGTGTATGGCCCGCGTTATGACCAGAATATGAATTCCGCCAAATTCTCTGAGAGTAATATTCACTAAATTCTTGACATCACTCTCAACCTGAATGTCTGCCACCACTCCAAGTGCTCGCCCTCTGGACAGGGATTCACACTTTTTGATTACAGAATCGATCTTATTTTGATCCCTTCCGGTGATGACTACGTGTGCGCCCAGGGATAACAACTTGACAGCAATCTGAGCGCCGATTCCCGACGACGAGCCTATAAATGAATTTATAAAACACACAAATTTAAAGCTAAAGTTTAATAAAGTTAAACAATATTTGTGACCTAAACTTTGAAGGATATTAAAAGCGTGTGATGAAATTGACTCCGGGCTAAACTATAACAACTCAAATATATCATTTGAAATTTTTCAACTTATTTTCTGATTTAAAAAATCTATGAATATTGTATGAATAATTGACTTTAGAGTCAAATTATTAAGTAAGTATAAAAATTGCTAATGTCACTCTGATCTTTATAGGGTTTATCATAAAACTCGTATTTATATATCAATATTACCTGTTATTAGAGCTACTTTCCCTTCAAAGTCCATTGAGATTTGATTGTTGTATATCCTGTCTTACAATATTTGATTTATATTATAAAGTCAGTCAATTAAAAATTCAAGAGAACTTTGTTTAATACCTCGCTTATTAATTATAGCAAAAATATATACTCTGGCACACTTGAAGTTTATTATGAGGTAGCCATGGAAAAAC